TTATACAAATGAAATTCTCTTATGTGCAAGTCATCTTCCGTATGTGGAAACTAATTCCTTATATCCAAATAATATTATGCGTAACCTATCTTCCCTTTGTGCAACTTACCTTCGTTTGTGTGCAACTAATCTTTCCTTGTACAATCAATCATCCTATGTCCCATTAACCACATATTCTAGCATGCTAAAACAGCATATATTTTAAATAAATATTCCATCCGCTTCTTATTATAAGTTTTAAATAATTAATTTACAAATAACGAATAATTAGTTAAAATTAATTACAAGCAACAAAAAATTAGAAATATACTTTTATTTTTAAATATGCCCTTATAATAAATGAGAAAAAGAATGAAAGAGAATGTATGGGGAAATATGATGAGAAAAAATATGACAGGAGAGAATAAATAATTAAGGACAAAATTAAAAAAAAATTGCATTAAATGTTGAGATAAACCCAAATTATAAATTATAAAATGGATCACACCTCTTTCCAAAATTGAAGCTTATAAACAAGACGGGAGAGAGTATTATTCATGGTTTCTTATCATTATTTGTTATTCATTAAATTTTCTTTATATATATAATGATTGATCTTGTGAGACTTCTCACAAGACATAAAGGATTTTTCTCAGATCATGCTCCATAATAGTGTTTTTTTTTTTTTGCCAAACCATTTTTTTTTTAACAGTGGATGGTAGAAATGGATATAGAGTGACATTTTCATTTCTCTAGACTTAGTTATGTGAAGGATAGACGATCGTGGATTGTTTCTAGAGTCCTCCACATTTATAATAAGGTGGCATTTATGGTGTGCAACGGCGAGGTGGACTGGGCTAACAAATGTGTCCCACTAAACCATTTTTATATATTGAATCAACTAAACAATTATTTTTGTTCATTGTAATGTCACATGGGAGGTGGTTGTGGCGTGATAAATGATCATATCATAGTTTATCATAGGGCTAATAATTGATTTTTTTTTAACTTCTTGTTAATTCATTTAAATTCTTCAGTTTATATTATTATATTTATATTTCTTTGCTCTTATTTATAAGATAGAAAGAGAAAAAAATTTTATCCTATTTATAAGTCATTTTATTAAATTTTTAAAATGAATGCACTATTTTGTTCTTTATTTATTATAGTATGATAGTTATTTTTTTTTATAAAAAAAAAGTGTATATATTAAAGGAAAAATTGTATTCAAGTCTCTAGGAAAGGCAATTACTACCACAAAGTCCCATGAAATTATCAAATAAATTTGAAGTCTCAAGAGACGTGCAAGTGGCTAAGAGAATCTGATTGTGAAATTACTAAGTTGCCCTCAATTGTTAAATACATGTAGTAATAGTTGGTAATATAACTGGTTTAGTTGCCAATGACAAGTATATGGTGCAAGTGAATATTAGTTGTTAATATATACTATGATAGTTGTCAAATAATTAGTTTAGTTGTCAATAACAAGTGAGAGGTAAAGGTGAACATTAGTTGTTAATACATGCCGTGACAGTAGCTAATATAACCACTTTAGTTGTCAATAACAAGTGTGAGGTAGATGTGGACATCAATTGCTAATACACGCTGTGATAATTGTTAATATAACTAATTTAGTTGTTAATGACAAGTTAGAGATGTAGGTAGATATTAATTGTTAATATATGCTATGATAGTTATTAATATAACTAGTCTGGTTGTCAATAACAAGTGTGAAGTGGAGGTACATATGAGTTGTTAATACATGTCACGATAGTTGTTAATATAGCTAGTTTAGTTGTTGATGACAAGTGTGAGGTGCAAGTGGATATTAGTCATTAATACATGCCGCGATAATTGTTAATATAACTAGCTTAGTTGTCAATGACAAGTATGTGATGCAGGTAAACATTAATTGTTAATACATGCTACGATAGTTGTTAATATAATTAATTTAGTTGTTAATGACAAGTGTATTGTGCATATTGATATTAGTTGTTAATACATACTGCAATATTTGTTATTATAGTTAGGGTAATTGTTAATGACAAGTGTGTGGTGCAAGTTGACATTAAAGATTATCAGTATATTTAGGAAGCATCTATTATGTTTCTTTCATATAGGGGCACAATTTGTAATGGTGGAAAAGCTTATTTGTGATATGTTAAGAGTAGTGTGAGAACAAAATTCATGAAGGAATGAGTGCAACATTGAATTAAGTCATATAGAAATTTGTTTGAACATTGAAAAATCTAACATAATTTATGTTATAATAATATGACATATAGTTTCAATACAAGCACCCGAAATCTCATTGCAATTATATATCTTGTCTTTGAAGATTTAATTTCATTCACAATAACATTGAAAGCAATGTACGTTTATTACTCAAATAAGGTCATTCATATATAGTTACAAAAAAAGGTCACGCCTTGTTATATTAAAATCCATAAACAACTGAAGCATATTTTTCCTATTTTTTTGTGCACGGCCATTCTTTGCAATATATCTAGCCTCATAGCAAATTGAAACTTATTGTGAATATATAATAGAAGGAATGGGGTATAGGGCCACAGTCTCTATAGTCATCTTTGGCTGAGATGACTTTCGAAAGTGCTTCCATAATGAATCATTTGATACTGGAAGCTTCATATTGGCTGATAAAGATATCCATATTACAATGCGAGACAAGAAAGGATAGATGCTCTTGGATTTATCCATTCTCAGATGCTACTGTCGACGCTTGTTCATTTGGACCTACAAAATGCAGTACACAAAAAAGAGCAAACTTACGCTGTACTCATGTAACCAAAAAAAAAAAAACACAGAATCTTTCTTTTTTTTTTGGTCAGGGAACTAGAATCCATGGAGGTAAAATTGGTTAGGTAAGTACAAAGTAAAATAAAGCATCAGTTGTACAACATAAGTGTTAGACAAAAGTTAAAAAAGCAGATACAAAAATATGGTAAGAAAATTGTCCATGGTGCAAAACATCTCACGAGAGGTAACAAATAATAAGTCAAATTCTATTAGGATGCAGAAAACTAAGAAAAATAGGCATAAATAGATGGAGAAGCATCATTTCCCCACAAAATTAATTATTAAAAATAAAAAAAATAAACTGGCTATTTGTTGTCGTAGTAAGGCGGGTGACACAAAGAAACAAGCAGGTAGTAGCAAGGGAAAAAAAAAACAAATATGGAATTTGACTTCTCTTACAATCATTATCTTTGTATCTCTCCCCCGCTCTAGATGGAATTGGAGTAGAATACTTTGCAGAAGAACAAGCTAAATTAGGAAGGGGGGAGTGAGTAGCTCCCAAAATTAAAGGGGACCATTGAGCCAAGAAATTTTATTATCATTGTAATGCAAGAAAATATATAACTTAACTCCTATATTTTGACTCCATCCTGTGATAACAATTCATCTGGGAAGAACAAGTACTGATTATAAAATGACTGGTCTGGATTTGAGTTTAATAACACATTTTTTTTGACATACAACATATGAATCAATTTATAAATACTTTTAATTTATATGTCCATATAACTCATTATAAATTAAAATACTTTTTTACATGCTTCACCCATCTCCATTGTTTTTGCTTCTCTTTCATCTTTTCTTTTTTTGGGCTACATTGTTTTAGATGCTTATGCCATGTCTTAGGGTTTGAGTCCTATGGATGTATATATAATTTTAATAAAACTTAATAGAGGTATATGTTACTATGTTATTGTGGATTCTTTTTTCAATTTTTTGAATCAGGCTACATATATAATTTTGATATGCATACCTTGGAAATGCAAAGGCCTTGAGTTCCTTAATCTATATATAGATATAGATAAATAACACACAAAACAACATAGCCCAAGAAAAGAAAAGGCGAAAAAGGGGCAAAAAAAAAACAATGAAGATGAAGTATGTAAAAAAGTATTTTAATTTATAATGAGTTATATAGATATATAGATTGAAAAGTATTTATAAATTGATTCACATGTTATTTCACATATTATGTCTCATAAAAAACATGTTAATCCAAATCCAGAGTTGTCATTTCACAATTAAGATATGCTATTTTTTAGATGAGTTATTGTTATGTTTAATTGATTTAGATGTTATTTCACATGTTATGCATTAAGAAAAAAATATGTTGTTAATTCCAAATTCAGACTCATCATTTCATAATCAGTACTTATTATTCTTAGATGAATCGTTGTCATGAGTTAGAGTCAAAGTAAAATAGTTAACTTATATATTGTTTTTTGATAAAATTTCTTAGCTCAATGGTCACCCTTAATTTTAGGAGCCACCAGATTGGGGGATCAGATCTTCCCCCTTTAAGAAAAAATCCTCCAGCTAAAAAAAGGTCCCCATCGGTAGCCACCTCGGCCAAGCTCCGACAAGGAACTCCAAACTTTTAAAAAAATAAAAAAATCAAAGGAGCATTTTTGTGATTTTATTAATTTAAAATTTTCACTTTCCTTTCTATCATTTTGAAGTGTTAGGTACCTAAATTGAAATATCATAATTCCAGGCTTCTTTATCTAGAATTTTCACTATTTTTTAATTCTTGGTGGCTGTCTTCGAGTGTCTATGCCCAAGGAACGATGCCGTTTCAACTCAGTGGAGGAAAATGGAGAAAGAATTAAGTGGAGATATCCCATGCGGGAGTTGACTCGAACTCAAACCACTAATCCGTGAACTACAATTTTGATTATTTCAAAAACTGGTCCGGTTTTTAGTACCTTGTATCATTCAATATCTAATCCGGTGGCAATTTCTTGTCTCTTATATGACATTGATGCTTGTTCTAAAAGATGTGATTGACCGCCATTGGAGTTCTTGGACTAACTCAAATTTGATATGAACAATAGTATATAGCTCACATCCTTGTGTACGCAGTGCAGCCTATTTTAATCTTGATCAAACTTGTTTGTTCGATTTAGCTGAAACTTTATGTAGAGATTTAAGACACGCATACACATAGATCTTGATTTTGAGTGGCTTGAGATAATGGGAATTTCTAAATCTTGATCAAATAGACACTTTATTCTCTTTTTTGACAAACCAAAGCAACCACTAAATACATTATACAAGCATTCACAGTACTTCTGATACACATGATTATATAATAGTGCCACATTAATTAATCAGCATAAGCGACACAACCGCACTAGCCAGTTATTCTGTTGTGGCCACACTTAGCTTACTTGATGGAATTAATATTACATATATATATTTGACTTGATATATGATTTATAGATTAATTTGGTTGAATTATGCAGTGAGAAGATGAGCATCGGCATCTTTTGTGACGTTAGTGACATAGTCCAAGTAGCCTGATGGATCTGGGATTCCCTCATTGAGCTTCTCATAGTCAATAATCCACTTGACGACGGCCCCACCACCGGCACCCTTGTCGGAGATTTGGAGAGTTATCTTGAAACTCTTGTACTGCTCCATAAGATCTCCTTCAAACAGGTCGAATTTGATTATGTTGTTCACTTCATCATATACTTCAATTCTCTCCTTGCATTTTACCACCTTACCATCTGTAAATTAATAACAACAAGAAGTTAAAGGCCTTGAAGCATGCACACCAAATGTTTGACAATTGAGTTATCAAGGAGGAGAATTGGAATTATAAGTATGATGAAGCACTTGGCAATTGAATTGAGTTAAAACCTTACCAACGGTATAAGACCATTGCTTAACAGATCCAATGTTATGCCAGTCTTCTCCTTCATGAAGCTCGCCTACGTGGATATGATCAGTGATGTTCTGAACATGGTGAAGTTGCTTGGTGAAAAGGTGGAAGAACTTTGAAGCAGGCGTCTGAATCTCATTCTCAATCTCCAGTTTCCCAGTGAGAGCCATGCCTTCTCTGAAGATCAACAAGGAAGAAAGATATCTAATAATATATATGTCAACTCGGAGATCTCTCCGCTCCAAGGGATATGCAACGAAATGAATGTTTTGTGTCTTTTATAGAAAACTAATGCGGATCCTGTGCATTATTGCAGGTAATAATGCAGCCTCTTTAACAACTGGTACTTTGATCTAAATACTTCAATCAACTCTATCTTTCAAATTTATAATTTTTTTTTTCAAACTATCTATATTGATTGCATGTGTTAAAATTTTCTATCAAGAGATATTTTCAATATAAATAATAAAAGATATTAGCTTAGGAGAACCAATACTCATTTTTTTTACAAATATACAACTTAATTTTGTATATTACTCCCTCCGTTCCTTATTATAAGAGACATTTGATGCTTATGGCATGTTCCGATATAGAAGAGACACTTAAAAGTTATCTCTACTTTTTTGTGTTGATTTCCTATTTTACCCATATTTATTATCTCCAATTCACACTCTCTCTCCCTCCCATTTCTCTCTCTTTTAATAATTTAATTGTTCTCTCTCATGCTCTCTCTCCTTATTAATGAGGACATTTTTGGAAAAAAATTATACTTTTTACACATTAATTGTTCTTAACTAATTTTAACTATTTTTTTGATCAACGTACTTCGGTTATTTGTCTCTTATAATAAGAAACGGAGGGAGTAGTTATTTAGCTATTACATTAATGACGGGAGGGAGTGATATTTAATTTCTATATTATATGCAGGTATAGATTTGGTAAACTCCATATCTTATTCCAATAATTGATTGATAAAATTGATATTAATTGCTTGTATATTTGATCACATGCACTATAATATTCAGGCAGCTCATTCGTAAGAACTAGCTGGAATGAAACAAGCAGATTTGAGGTTTGAAGGATTTGTTAATCACTGTTAGTTGTTAACGTCAAATATTCTAACAGAGATTATATCTGTGTGTGTGTGGAGACTTGTATGTGTCCATGAAGATTCACTTATAAACATGTACATCGAGACAAAAAATTCTATCATATACTTCGTATTTCATGAATCACGATTGGAAAACTGTTTTTGAAGAATTATACTGTCATTCCAAGCAAGCACTTCTAATGTGAGAGGATTTATGGTGTTAATTGGAAAAAAAGAAGATATATATATATATATATATATATATATATATAAAGAACGAAGTCTTTTCCTATCTTTAAAGGAATATTGTGTCTACTTAGCGTGTGTTAGGGATAGCGTTGATGGGGGAGAAGCCACGTTGAGGAGTGATAAAGCTCAAGCATGTTGCTTGGATCAGGGTTTTGTTATTTGAGCTTTTGGGTCAAAAACTCCAGTACCGTGAAAGCCATTTAGAGCTACTTTTTGGGAAAGCCCATATCTGCTGTGGAGAGAGGATAGAAGATGGAGATAAAAAGAAAGATGAGGGTATCTGAGTGGGTCCTATCTTGATCTAATAATTTGATGTTTATAAAAAATGTTGTGGGAAGAAGATAATTAACTAATAATATTTAATTTTTTTAATCTTTTCTTAAATTTATCAAATTATATACATATGATATACTACCTTAAGTCCTTAATATAAGACTCAATAGACTAATTTGAAGAGATTAAGAAAAATGACTAAACTACTTAATTATATCATATGTTACATAATATTTGAAAATATTTATGTGCATCACTAGATTACAAATCAGTCAGTTTATAAGTCAAACAAATTAGTTTGAAAAAAAATGATTACATGAACTTACTTTTTTATTTTTTTTCCAAATAAGTTTCAATTTATCAAACTAACTTTTATAAAACTCAATCCAAACAAATTACATTACATTAACTGACTTTTAATCTAATTTCTGTTTGTAAAAAATAAAAACCACTTTTACCACCACTAACCATCCACACCCTTGCTTCTCATTTTAAAAGTTCAACGTGCAACATTAACTGTCATTTTTCAATTATATCCCTATATTTAAGTAAGAGGGTGAGCCCTCGAAGCAATAATAACCTTCTCTAGACTCCACCTGGTCTGCTGGGGGCGTTGTACTTTTAAATTATTTTTATACACCAATTTTAAAGGGGAAATTGCAAAAAAAGACTTTGGAATTGCAAAAACGCAGATAGGGACCCTTGACAACTTCACTTTGGGTTTTGACAACTTCAGGGCATATTATTCTTGTCAAAACCTAAAGTGAAGTTGTCAAGGGTCCCTATCTGCGTTTTTGTAATTCCAAAGTCTTTTTTTGCAATTTTCCCAATTTTAAATTGTTAATGCTTATCATTTTAAATAAAAAAGTGGTTGATTCACACCATTTTAAATTGTTGTTTGATTTTCCATATCCTGGTTGCGAATCGCTGCTGCAACTGCTCCCACTCCGATTCGTCCGCGTCTGAGCCATCGCCATCAACATTTAGTATCATTTTTCAACATGTTTTACGTACGCATATATATAAATATATATATATACACATTGGATTTCTGCATAATTATATGTTCACTTCTTTAATATTTTTCACATTTTTTATTAGATTATGCATAAAATTATTTTAGCTTTGTTTCTTCAAAAAATTTTCACAATTCCATCAACATACATAATATACAATACTCTTTCAATCTTTAATATAAGACCTAATTATTAAATTGATTTTGATACTAAATATAAGACCCATTTATCATATTTATCAATTTTCTCTAAATTACTCCTATAGATACTCCCTCAACCATAATCAAGTAGAACAAAAAGAAGAGGTATTAAAAAAGATAATTATACTCCTCCGGTCCTAATTATAAGACCCAATTGACTTATTTGAGGAGATTAAGGAAGTAAGTTAAATTGGTTATTTATAATAAATAAGTGTTGTCATTCCTAAAATATCCTTGCTAATTAAGTATATTAGCTAAAACTATCATTATTAGAAGGATTATCTTGGAAAAAAATACATAAATATAAGAGACAAAATGAATTGGGTCTTATAATTAGGACCAAATAAAAAGTCAAATTAGGTCTTATAATAAGGACCGGAGGAGTAGTATTTTAAGAAAAACGTGTCATATTTTTTATAATTAACTAACTTGCCTAACTTTTTTAATCTAATCAAATTAGTTAAATAGATCCTATATTAAGAATTAGAAAAGTGTGTATATATGTATATATACATATGTATATATAATATTAGGGATAGGGCACACCATTGAAATTATAAACATTGCAGCTCATTTATCATAGGGCCCATGTCCATCTAACCCCCCCGCCCCACATAAAAAATGGCCGGACAGCAGCCCCCCACCATTATTTTATTATTTATTATTGTAACATTTTATTGGCATAGTATATTTGAAAAAATTGATTATTATTATTATTATAATCGCTATTCTTATCTTTTTGGGAAAAGATAAAAACATGTTAAAAAATTTGCCAATAACGTCCGGGAGACTATGGAAGCATGAGCAGAAGCCTCCATGAAAGCAACGTCTCAGTTATCAACTTGCTCCCATTCATTATTGCGTGAGTAGGTATTATATCGCGGTCTCTCAGGTGTTTCCCTATCTTTTCATTATTAAAAAAACAAATTCTAAATCGGGAAGCCAACAATCAATCAGGTTCAGCTTTATCAAATTATATACAGATCATGTGATAGTAGTGGTAAAGGTGTGTGCGGGACAATTTAAGCACAATATATAATTCGAAAAATCTTCAAGAAGATGATTGTGTCCAGAATATTACAAATACAATTAGATCACATAGTAAATATCCTACACAAATGGTGTTTATTAAATCAAATGAAGCATGTGATAGCAGAGGTAAAGGATGAAAGAAACAAGGCAAGTTTTCATTGAGAACTAACCATTCACCCCAAACACCATTCTGGGACTTTTGTAAAGCTTCCCTGGCTAGTTGGAGAATGCAGAATGCACACCAAAGTGACAATCTAACAGAAAACAGAAAAACATTAGTTGGCCCTCGTTTTCCCCAAAGCCAAGTACCAAAGAAAAGGAAGAGTGTATGGGAAACAGTGGCATACAGAGCAAGCACCACAACCGGCAACACTGACGGGTTCCAACTCATCGGGAAAAAGGTGGCAGAATGAAGGCTGGGTTTTTCAGGTAGACAAAATATATACATTAGGGAATTTCAGGAATTAAAAATTGATTAACAATATTAATAACGGAATTCATTCCCCCGCCCGGGGGGGTACAAGTTAACGTATGATCCACGAAAAGGATGCTCAGTATGCAAGGGAAAGCATGAGGTTTATCCCAAGTTATTCCATAAATCAAAAAATATAGAACCTTTCTCGGGGATAATTTCCGAACAGCTAGAGCTGCAACTGACTTCGATATCACACAGAATATGCTTAATTAGGAGTTAACTGTATATTTCTTCTTTTTTTTTAATACAAAAGAAGGCTAAGCCCAAAAACTACCAACAACTAATCAAAAGGGGAATTGAATCCCATACACTCAGAAGCCACTAAAGTGCTTATCTGTAGAGGACAAGAATCTAAAAGGAAGGATTTGCTTAATCCCTCCTTAGCCTAAAAGTCAGCTACTCGATTTCTTATTTCTGTTCGTGATTAAAGTTTTTTTCACCAAGAAATCCTTATTCGTGCTACCCAGCATTGCCATATTCCAAAATTTTGAAGAAAGTCCAAGATTTCAATCCTTAAGAGTAAAAAGCGGTAGAGGTTAAAAGGTTTGAGGACAGAATAATATCGTTAAGAGTAATTGTTGGAAAGGATATTATCAATATCATTAGTGTCTATGCACCTCAGGTTGGGGCAGAGACACACCTTAAAGATAAGTTTTGGGAAGATATGGAGGGCTTGGCTCAAAGCATACCACTCGAAGAAAAAAATTTTATCGGTGGGGACCTTAATGGACATGTTGGTAAAAAAACAGGACAATTCAGTGGGACCCATGGTGGTTTTGGTTTTGGGGAGCTTAATAGTGGAGGACAATCTATTCTCGATTTTTCTCTTGCATACGATCTTAAGATTGTCAACACTTGTTTTAAAAAGCGAGAGGAGCATTTAATCACGTACAAAAGTGGTGTCTCAAAATCACAGATTGATTTCTTTTTGGTTAAGAATCTAAACAAAAGATTGTGTACTAATTGCAAAGTGATTCCAGGAGACGGGGTGAGTGCCCAACATAGAGTACTTATCCTTAATGTATGTTTTAAGAGTACCAGGCAAAAGTACCATCAAGTGGCAAACCCCAGGATTAAGTGGTGGCAGTTAAAAGGAGAGAAGCAGGAGTTATTCAAAAGGACTCTTTTGAAGGAAGAGAATTGGGAGTTGCAGGGAAATGTAAACATGATGTGGGAAGAGATAGCTTCAAGGGTTCGTTTGGTAGCTAAAGCAATTTTGGGAGAATCCAAAGGTCCTGGTCAAAGAGATAAGGAGACTTGGTAGTGGAATAAGAGTGTGCAAGAGAAAGTCAAACAGAAAAAAGATTGTTTTAAGGCCATACACTTGTGCAATAGTGTAGAGAACCAGGAAAAGTATCAGTTGGCTAAAAAAGAGACAAAGAGAGCATTGAGCGAAACACGTACTAAAGCTTATGAAGGGTTTTATCAGGAGTTAGGAACAAAGACGGGAGAAAGAAATATTTACAAGATCGCGAAGCAAAGGGAGAGGAAAAAAAGAGATCTGGACCAAGTAAAGTGTATAAAGGATGAAGATGGTAAAGTGTTAGTTACTGGTGGTGATATTAAGGACAGATGGGAGGCTTACTTTTACAAGTTGTTTAATGAGGGAAGCAATTATGCGACTCAGGACTTGCAGGACTTGCTAATTAACGAAGATGATCGGAATTTGGCTTTCTACCGCAGGATACGTATCGGAGAGGTTAAGGCGGCTCTCAAGAAAATGGACAATGGAAAAGCCGTTGGGCCTGATGGTATTCCTATTGAAGTTTGGAAATGTTTGGGCGATGAGGGGGAGGCATGGCTAACCAAGCTTTTTAATGAAATTCTACGCTCTAAAAATATGCCGGATGAGTAGAGGAAAAGCATTTTAGTTCCTATTTACAAGAATAAAGGAGACATTCAAAACTGTGTAAGCTACAGGGGGATAAAACTTATGAGTCATACAATGAAGTTGTGGGAAAAAGTGATGGAATATAGATTGAGGTTGGAGACTTCTATTTCGGAAAACCAATTTGGATTTATGCCAGGGAGATCCACATCGGAAGCAATCTATTTACTAAGGGGGTTAATGGAGAGATATAGAAGTAAAAGAAGAGATTTACATATAGTTTTTATTGACCTGGAAAAGGCTTATGATCGTGTGCCAAGAGAAGTATTGTGGAAGGCTTTGGAAAAGAAAGGTGTACGGGTTGCGTATATCAAAGTCATACAAGATATGTATAAGGCGGTAACTACCAGTGTAAGGACGCCTGGGGGGGAGACAAAGGACTTCCCTATTAAGATTGGCCTACATCAGGGATCCTCTCTGAGTCCGTACTTATTCAACATTGTTTTGGATGTTCTAACTAAACCTGTTCAAGAAAGAATCCCTAAGTCCATGCTCTTCGCGGATGATATAGTTCTTATGGCAGAATCAAAAGAAGAGATTAACACTAGTTTGGAGTTATGGAGAAGGACTTTGGAGTCGAAAGGTTTCCGTTTGAGTAGGAACAAAACAGAATATATGCATTGTGATTTTGGAGGGAGGCAAGGTAATAGGGATTTGGAGGTGAGAATGGGAGAGCAAATTATTCCTCAAGTATCAAAGTTTAAATACCTAGGATCCATTATACAGGAGGATGGGGAAATTGATGGAGACATTTCTCATAGAATACAAGCTGGCTGGTTAAAGTGGAGGAAAGCTACCGGAGTTATTTGCGATAAGAAGGTACCTGAGAAACTTAAAGGAAAATTTTATCGGACTGCTATAAGACCAGCTATGATGTATGGTAGTGAATGTTGGGCAATAAAAGGAAAACAAGAGCACAAAGTCGGAGTAGCAGAAATGAGGATGTTGAGATGGATGTGTGGTCATACAAGAAAAGATAGGATTCGAAATGAAAAGATCAGGACAAGAGTCGGTGTGGCACCTATCCAAGAGAAAATGGTTGAAAATCGCTTAAGATGGTTTGGACATGTGCAGAGAAGGCCTTTGGAGGCCCCAGTGAGGAGGGTGGATCAAATAAGATGGAGTCCCATAAAAAGAGGCAGGGGAAGACCGAGAAGAACGTTGAATGAGGTCATTGAACGAGACCTCCTAATCAACAACATATCTAAGGATTGGATTGTTAACAGAACACGATGGCGTCGTGTGATTCATGTAGCCGACCCCACCTAGTGGGATAAGGCTTGTTGTTGTTGTTGTTGTCGTCGTCCAAGATTTCAATCCGGAATTGCTTGCCAAATTTTTTTAGTGTTGATTGGGTTTCTAACCCGCAAGACTGGAGCAAAACAGCCTAGTAGATTCGTGGGCCGACTTGCCCCATGAATAGGCCTTCATGAATTACAGCTGAATAAATCTATTGATACCATCAGCGAGTGGAATACACAAGCAAAAATGGAATGGGAAAAACGATTTTGAAAAAAAAAAAAAAACAATAATAATAACACTTGTACCCTTGCTCTAATAAAAGTACTATAAATACATAAAAACTGTCGAGTAACGTGTTATGAATCTTATATTTAAAAGCCTCACATAAGGAGGGGGCTTTATGGTGGGGGCTAACATTTTTCTTTTTGACCTTAGATAGGGAGCTGATGTAGGACATAAGTTTGATAACTACAAGAACATGATAGTTATACTTTGTTTTTTAAAAAAGGAAAAAAGAATCATTTCCCTAACTACTGAAGATGAAGCCGAGAAATCCTCTAAAACAGACCATCAATAAAAAACAAGGAACACCAGGGAAATATTATTACCTCAAAAGAGCTTACTAACTTCTCAGCAAACCCGTGTGTGGCCATGAGTGATAACCACAGAGAAGCCAAATGAACAATCCTTTCCCATAAGAAATGCAACAGGAGATTAGTTATAGATCCCATCCATTATGCCCCAATTATAAGCACTATAACCACTCAAGAACGTCATTACGAAAGGATCTTAAAACCGTTGCTTGAACCAAAAACTTTAAAATGGATTCACAGATTTGTTTACTCATTGGACCTCAAAGATAACAGAAAGTTGATTTCAAACTTTCCAAGCAACCTCAAATGTCAGAAAATTCCACTGTTATCTCTGAATTCTAAAGTCTCAACGCACACCTTCAGAGGAAAGAGCCAATTGAGTCCCACAAAAACGTAACACGTCATTTATATTAATCCTCTTGAGTACTGCTTTAGAATCAAAAGTCCAGAATTCCACCGGGATGGCTAACCTTCCATTGGGAAAAAGAAAAAAAGAAAAATAACAACACAAAACTTCTAGAACAGTTGGCTATCAAATCAAAGACCATAAGAAAAATGATTGAGACTAATTTTTTGATGAGAAAAATGTCATAATTAATTTAGTCAACTTATATATCAAGATAGGATGGTCAATCTGCTTTTAGTGACATCATCAAGGAGAATCAATTTCATTTCATAGAGAGTTTTGCAGGCAGAATTAATTCCCCTCCTTGTGCGGGAACAGACTTGTATATGCCTTAGGGTTATTTGTACTGACTTATATATTCCTAGGGTTGTTTCTACTCTTTAAAACTTCTTCCCGATACAATATCCTGTATTACCATAAATACTAAAAAGTGACGCATGCAAGAACAAGAGAAATCCAAGGACTATAACGAGATACAAGAATGAAATCAAGGATACCTGATATTATCAAATGAGCAGCCAGCCTATATTCGCTACCAGCAGACTTCAGCAACAGAGGATTAGGTTCCGAAGAAAACTGCCATAGCCGCTCCACTGCTTGAGTTATGTTATTTGACACTACATTATTAGGACAGCAGCCTCCATCATTTTAAGACTTACGACAATCTTCTACCAACCAAATGAATAGTCTGAAAATTCCAAGTCCCATACCCCCAACAAATCTTGCAAAGCTTTTCAATCTTTCTATGTCAACCACAGGGATCCCAGACAGACAGTAAAAAAGCAAGATGCCCACGTCAAAGAGGAAAAATCAACTAATGAGAAATAAGCACTTTCCGAATCACCAAGTCACTCAACAATCTTCTGAACTTCCTCTGTAAACAATCATACGTTTGATTGAAAGTTATCTCACATAGATAATCATCTAATACTGCCACAACAAAATGATAGTGCTTGAACATTGCATACAGCTTTTCCAGCAGCAGGAAGCCAAGACGAATTATCACATTTAAAATCAAATTCATACTAGTTTCATCCCTCGGCTAGTAGATGTTATCAATTCAGCTGTGCCACCACCATACAAACAAAAAGATGAGAAGGAATTACCCAATTCTCATAAGGAGAAGCAATTGCGTGCATCATCTTTAAAAAATCTGCAAAGAAGTAGATAACAACAATCACATTATATTTTCAATTCTTTTCACAAGGTATTCATATGTTCAAACAACAAATTTGTCCTTTTCTATAGCTTCCATGTCATAAAAGTAAATAACATAATCTATTTCCTCTTTCACCCGTGTTTAAACCAAAAAAGAAAAAAAGATATCAAAGAGGCATTTAAGTTCAGAGGGTGCATTGGTGTAAACAACATCATCAGTGAAGCGCATCAGGGAAACATCAAACAAAAACATATTCATAATATAGAAGTAATTAAGGGAAAGCATATTCTAATAGAACTAATGTAAGTTATTGAAGGGATAATCATCTCAAGATCCATGACAACAAGATCCGCTAAATTTAAGTTTCAAAATTCTCCAATGGCTCCCAAACTGATAAGTGACCCTCATCTAAACTTTTGAAATATAGGATAAAAAAGAAGAAAGAGAAAGACTAGGATAGAAGCCAGAAAATAAAGACAAACATAAATCAACAACCTAACACCTCAAGAATATAGCTATTTCAACAGAGAGAAAAGTAGATAGTGCATAATAGGATCCTTACTTAAGAGCACTGAGCACCATGACAGAGCTAAACATAGGATCAAGAAGCACTCTTGAAAGCGTGATCCATCATGAAGTTTGTAATAGAAGTAGCTCTGGATGAGCCTTGTTCAGTTTCATTAAGAGCTCATTGCATGTAACACTTGCTCCTTTTGATGTCTCCCGCAAAAAATTGGGGAGAATCTCTATTATATTAAAATCTTTTGAGCAATCGCAAAGGCAAGTTAAGATAGTACAAGTTAATTTTGAATCCAAAACAAGACCCTTATCTGCCATGTGGTGAAGCAAATAAATAATTTGTGTTGTGTTTCCCACTGAACTATAGCCCTTTAGTAAGGAATCATATACAAAGGCATCTGGCGTATGACCACTAGCAATCATCCTCTCGAATAGTGAATTTGCCTCATCCAAATGCCCACGTTTGCAAAACTCCTTTATTAATATTGAGAAGGTAATAGCATCAGGAACTAAATCCATTTTAGTCATATCCACTAGCAATTCATTGGCAAATTTAAAATCTCCTGCTTTGAGAGTTCCATTAATTATTGTGTTGAAAGAGTACACATCCGGCTCATGGTTCACATTTCTCATGTGTTGAAATAAGATTTTAGCCTGCTGCAAACTACCTTCCCAGCAAAGAGATTTCATTAGTACATTGTAGTCAAATACTGATGGTCTAATCCCAGCCATCTTTATCTTAATAAAGATTCCTTTTGCCATGCTGAGTAAATGCACTTTGCACAGACCATTAATCATTATACTATAGGTCATTGAGTTTGGAACCAATCCTAAGTTTAATGCACATTTCCAGAATTGCATTGCCTTATCAAATTTTCCCAAATTTAGAAACCCCTCCATCAATATATTATAAGTCACTATGTTACCCATGAAACCTCTCTTAACCATTGCAGAATGGATCTCCATAGCATCACCAAGGCGTTCCTCTTTGCAGAGTCCCTTAATTAGAAAATTAAAGGTCCGTACATCTGGGGTCACATGGAATTCTTGGCTTAACAATAGCTTGAAAAGGTCCATTGCCTCATCAAGCTTCCCAAAACCACAAAGTCCCATTAATATTGTATTGTAGGTAATTATGTTAGGTTTCTTCCCCTTCTCGATCATCATTTCCAGAATCTGACGTGCATTGTCTACCTGACCTTCTTTGCAAAGTCCATTTATCATGGCATTATACGTAGCAGTATTTGTCTCTTCCCCATTTTTTTGCATCAAATTCAACAGCTCCATAGCACCAGAAGCTCTCCCAGTTTTGCAAAGTCCATCAATCAAAGCTGTGTTTGCAACAACATCAAGATGAATTCCACGGCTTGTCATTTCTTTCAGCAACTTAGAGACCTCTTGCCCCTGTCCATTCTTGCAAAAATTATGAATTAGACAGTTATAAGTAATTGCATTTGGAGTAATTCCCTTTCTGAGCATATTATCAAAAAGTTCCTTGCCCCTTTTAAGTTCTCCTTTACTACAAAATCCATTGATGAGTGAATTATACATAAATACATCTGCACTCCAACCTTTCTTCTCAATCTCCTCCAACAAAGTCAATGCCTCATCCACTGCCCCATCCTTACAAAAACCATCTATCAAAGTGGCAAAGGTCACCATATCAGGCGGGCAATCCTCCTGCTTCATTACCATGAACATATTCACTGCTTCTTTCAAATTCTTTGCCTTACATTGTCCATCAATAAGTATATTGTAACTACGGCTATCCGGTTGAACACCGTTCCTTCTCATTTCACCAAATAAGTACATCGCCTTCCCAATATCATTACTTTTACAAAAGCCCTTCAATATTTGGTTTATATTAAACACATTAATTTTATAACCACGCTTGATCATCATCCCCAGAACCCCCGATGCTAACTCGAGCCTATGGTTATTCACAAAACTCTCAATCAAACTACTTAATGAAGTGAACCTCGGCAAGACGCCGACAACGCTCATCTTCGAATAAACCGAGAAGACCATGGAATATAATTCCGCCCGCCTCAAATTATCAATGAGAAAGCTACATGCTGACTCAGAAGGCACCACATTAGAATCCACAGAACGGTGAAAGAGTGAAACTGCCTCGGAAAACTGAGGATTAGGGTTTGCAAGCAGAGACCTTAACTGCGACTCTACTTCATTCACTGAAGCAGATGAAGAAATTGAAGACCAAGGCTTGAAATAAATATGGAAGACATGAACTTTGCGGGAAATAGAACCGCCAGTACGATGAGCGCGGAGCATTTTTGGCATTATCATAATCCGTATAGCTAATTCAAAATCTAAAAAGTTAAAAGATTAAGACAAACCCAGAAATCGTTGACTAACAGTTGCACCGAAATTTGAAATCTTAACAGAGATCGCATCTTCCTTCCTGCCTTCTCCGGGTAGCCAACCCTCTCACCCGGTCCCGGCGGCGGACCCCTAATTTAAAATAGAGCTTCTTTTTCTCCTTAATAACTTTTGAGAAAATTGCAAAAAAAGACCTTAGAATTATAAAAACACAGATAGGGACCCTTGACAACTTCACTTTGGGTTTTGACAAAAATAATATGCCCTGAAGTTGTCAAGGGTCCCTATCTGCGTTTTTACAATTCCATAGTCTTTTTTTGTAATTTTCCCATAACTTTTTGTTGGTTTAAGAAATTATAAATTTATTATCATAATTTAAGTCCCTTTTTTTTTAATGAATTCTGATATTATTTATAGAGTAGAAATAGAAATTTTTTTTTGGTAAATAGGGTATTTAGAAAAAAAATTTATATGAATATACAATTTTGCTCTTTATTTATTATTATGTTAATTTTATTTATACGAGATATAACATGTGTTAAATAAGGATAAAGTTAAAAAATTCTTAAATTTTAAATAAAAATTTAAACTAATGTTAAAAGAAACTTTTAAATAAATGAGAAAATTGTAAATAAAGACCTTTTAATATGTAAAATTACGATTTGGGACTCTAAATTTGAAAAATAGTAAATAAGGACTTAGTTCCATTTTTGCAAATATGATATTGTGGTGAAATGTCTGAAATGCCCCTCAACCAAATTATGATTTGATCTATTGAAATTATCATTCGTTAAAATGAACTTGTCATTTGACATATCCTTAGCCAAATTGTAATTTGGTCGACTAAAATTATTATTCATCAAGTGAACTTGTCATTTCTCATAGTCAACTTGTCATTTGACTAAGAGTAATTTTAGATATTTCATCACGATTTCATATTTGCAAAAATAGAATCAGATCCTTATTTATTATTTTTCAAATTAAAGGTCTCAAATCACAATTTTATATATTTAGAGGTCTTTATTTGTAATTTTTTCTAAATAAATGGAGTCAGGAATAATTTCAATCGGCTATAAGTTGAGCCCCGGACTCCCTATAAAATTAGATATTTGTCTTTCCACTACAAAAAAAAAAGACTTTAGGCGACGACTTTCGACGGCGACAAGAAAAGTCGCCGCTAAAACTAAGACTTTCAGCGGCGACTTTTTTTGTCGCCACTGAAAATTCACGGCTGAAACTAAGACTTTCAAATGTGATAAAAGTGTCACCGCTGAAACTAAGACTTTCAGCGGCGACAAAAGTGTTGCCGCTAAAATGGACTTTCAGCGGCGACTTTTTTTGTCGCCGCTGAAAGTATACCTTTGAGAATCATTAAGTCTACTTTCAGCAGCGACATTCTATGGTCGCTGCTGAAAGTAGACTTTCAGCGGTGACTATCAGTGTCGTCGCTGAGGGTCTGACTTTCAGCAGCGACTTTATAATGTTGCCGCTGAAAGTGTAATATAATAATATATATTTTATTTTACAATATTAATAAACAAATTCAATCTGGCTCAACGGCAAGAAGATTGGATATGAAAGGAGGTGGTCACAAGTTCGAACCTTGAAGAAGACACATTTAAGGTGAAAATATTTGGACGATGAGGTGGCGAGAAGGAGTGATGTGGCAATGATGTGAAGGTGGCTAGTGATGACATGGCGGTCGGCAGTGATGACGTGGTGACCGATGGTGATGACGTGGCGTCGGTAAAGCCAATTATTGTTAGGCATTACTTTCACTGGCGACAAAAAAGTCGCAGCTGAAAAGTCTTTTAGCGACGACATTCTTGTCGGCGCCGAAAGTGTGTTTCAGCAGCAACATTCTTGTCGCCGCCAAAAGTGTTTTCAGCAGCAACAAATGTCACTACCGAATGTGTCTTCAGTGACGACATTACTTCTAAGCCGCTAAAAGTTTTCAGCCACGGCTATTACGACAACGACTTTTTAGCTACGAAAAGTCGCCGTTGAAAGTCAATTTTTTTGTAGTGTTCAATTTTCTACAGCCGAGAGACATGATAAAACAAAAGCTCAACATGGATAACATAACAGAAGTTGGGTCATTGGAAGCTCCATGCCCCTGTGTCCTGTCCACTTTTAAATATAATTTTAAAGGTGCTTGGATAAAAACAAAATCATGATTTTAAAAGTGTTTTTACAGTATACAAAGTAAATAAGTCGAGGAGTTTATTTCAATTTACAGAAAAATGCTTCTGAAAAATACTTTTGGGGTTACCCAAACACTTTTTTATTTTTAACTACTTTAATAAAGACATTTTAAGAACCCAGCACAATTTATTAATTTAAGATTTTTTAAAATCTTAAAATGAATAGGAGGTTATAAGAAACTTAAGAGTAATATATTTTAAGTAAAAAATTACACTATTATTTATGTCTCCTAATTAACAAGCTTATTGATATGGATTAATAAGTCAATAAGAAGCTATTGACAAGTTAGATTAGTTGACAAGTAAATTTATGTGATAACATAACCTTCACATGAGATTAAATTATCACAAAATTATAATCAAACCCCAAAAAAGAAACATTATTACCAAAAAGTCTCAATAATAATCTAAGCAGCCAGTAATGACAAGTCTCAAAATAGAAAATAACAACTTCTAACTTGTTAGTTGAATTTGTTAGTGATTTATTTCTTTTTTCATTAGAATCTTATTGTAATTCTCTTTAGTCTTCATATACGTGTCTATCTTTATCGCATAGCATCTATTCTCTTATTTGTCCAAGGTGACCAAGCAGGTCTTCACGATGAGCATAAAAGTGGCGCAAAAAAAGTGGTTTTGGGATAGAATAGCATCCAACATCATAATTTTTTTTTGGTAGTTTTAACACTTTGATCTTATTTATTATACACCTATCATCCTAAACCATAAATAAAATTAGAATATTAGGTATAGCTGAAAAATAATATCAAAAGGTGTCAGATATATCATAAATTATATTAATTTGCTGAATATTACTAGAAAATAACATGTGGGTTGAATGTTACTTTACTCAACAACAACAAGAATTACGAGCAAAAGATAACAGCACATGAAGGTTTTAGTAGTGGCTTTTAGAGAGATGAATATGAATATAACAGCATTTGCATCACCTTGCATTGCTTGCTTGTAGGCCATTATGAATAAGATTTTGTTCTTTTTCTACCGGCCTCCTTAGTGCTTAGCTTTATGCTCTTTTGATTAGATCTAAAGATAATTTGCATCACTGGGAGACAAATTACGATTAATTAATTTTTTTCACATAATAAATGAGTATCTGCCTATTAAAGCTTCTTCTGGACAAAAATAAGTTGAAGATTTAAGAATAATGCATTGTCTCATTGAGATAAGCTATAAAAGTCTCATCATTATTTCTAAACTTGAGAGAAAGACTAAGCATCCACCTATTTTCAAGTATAATTTGATTGATGTTATATATGTGGGAATAATATATATAGAAATTGCCCACTAGTAGAAATATATACTTGCCAAATTTGAAGTGGCATCGCATCACTCATGCTTCAGCAAAGTGGAACAGAAACATACCTAGGCGAAAGTTTGATATGAAACACACTTTTTTAATTTATTTTGATTTTTTTATAAACTATACAGTATGTAAATATATGACTAAGTTGTAGCATTGCTATTTGTCACCTTTTAAAAAAAAAAAGCTAATCAATTAAAACCTTGCAATTAAATATGATTTATAGAATAAACTAAACAAATCTTTTAAAGAATTATGTTAAAATAATACTAAAATTTCTCTGCTTAATTGTTTAAGGGAAACTTTTATGCTGTATATATACAACTAGCACCCACAACAATGTATTAGGGTGCGTTTGGATTAGTAACGGTGAAACTAACTCTTATTTCATCTAACTTTTGCAAAAATTAGTTAGGATAAAAGTTAGTTAGTATAATGTGATTTATGTTTAAATTGACATTTCTAAAAAGTCAGTTTGAAAAGTTGAAATTTGTTTGGCGATGGACAATGAAAAAATAAGTTTAGATGTGAAATGACTGAAAATAGCATAAGTTTTTATATAAGATTCAGTTAACTAATCTGGAAAGATTAAGAATCCACATAAGTATTTTAGAGAGATCGTATAACATATAATATAATTAAGTAATTTATTTATTTTTTTTAATCTATTCAAATTTGTCTATTAGAATCTTATATTAAAGAGCAAAGGTAATATATCATTCATATACAATTTGATAAATTTTTTGAAAAATAATAAATTAAATTAATTAAATTTTATTAGTTAATTTTTCCTTCTAAAAAAATAAAATTATTGAGTTAAGATAGGACCCACCTAAATACTCTTATCTTTCTTCTCATTTATTATTAGGTTTGTTGGAATAATTTTGTCTTCTACCATTATTACTTTTTCTCCCTCTGAGTTCTCATCTCCAAAAGCTACTCTGATTAGCTTTTGCCTTGAATGAACATTTTTCCCAAAAGTCAATTTGAGAAAAGTTAACCCAAACAATTATTCAAGCCTATACCAGCCAACAACGCACGTTTCCCCCTTTCCAATGCACGTTCTCTGTTCCAAATGCTTTGCCAAACACATGCTTAATTACTAGTTCCAGTCTTGATTATAAGACGTCGCCTGTAAACTACAAGTAAAGTCTTATAATTATAATTGGATGTAGAATTAATTAGAAACATACATAATTTTTTTTTGACCAAGAAAACATACATAATATTAAACACATATGAAGATTTTATTTGCATATACATCATAAAGTCTTGCAACATACACCCTTAAATCATTCTTGCACACTTCCCATACATATGCACTTATAACATGATTACAAGAAACTAAACACAGACTTGAAAATTATCATAGTTGCATGAATCTCAGATCACTAGCTCCCTAGCCAAAGTCGTCCATATATATATCGCCCATACATTTTATATAATTATAAAAATCCTGACAAGTCATAGTATTTATGAGTCATGGACTATGCAAGTCGTTTCTCAAACTCTGTGTAATACACAAGACTCACACCAGAGAGCTCACATAATTAAGATACATTGCAGATCGATCCAAAACGCTCAAACTAATTTGTGTTCAATCTCTTTGAGAAGATTGAGGGAAAACTGGAGGTATCTATGAGGAGGTGGGACTTCCCCATTGGTCTTCTCGTATTCGATTCGCAACTTCACAGTTCCGTTCATCTCAACTTTGAGGATGAGGCGATAGCTCTTGTACAATTCCATTACATTTCCTCCCAATGCAATATAAGTTAGAGTCTTGTTTTCTTCATCCACCTCAACTCTTTCCTTAAATACTTCTTCTTTCCCCTCTGTACGTACAAATCTCAATTAGACAACGAAAATTCAAGTTCTATATTCATCATTTTTTTATGATTTTTACTTCCCAACTTGGCCTCTATACTGTAGTTTAAGAGCTTGAAACTAATCGATTCTACAATATGCATGGCTTCTAACAAATACAGATTTGATCTCTGTAATTAGACTTCTGTCAATTAAACTTATGGGGCACGCATGTTAGACCATGCATCTGAAGTGATTTTTGTTAACATGTTCAGTGTCAGATGAATATGACATATGACATGTTTTGAGATGATGATGGTGTATAATATATGTACATATATATATTGATATACATACCTAGGGTAAACTTCCAAAGCTTGACAGAACCTGGAGTTACCCAGTCACCATTAAGGACTTCAACATCATGAACCTTGTCAGTGGCGTTTGGTATTTTCTGGTTTTGAGACTTGAGAAAGTTAAAGATCTTCTCAGGAGGTGATCTGAGTTGTTTAGTAGCTTCAAGGACACAAACTTGAGCCATTAATTGCTTGCTTCTGATGGTCTCTGCTCAGAAGGTTAATTAAGCAACTCAGGTTGGGGCATTTCCTTTCTGCTCCTGCTATTTATTAACAATCCCCAGATTGTGTCATGGTTAGTTGGAATCACTGTTTGTTGATTCTAGTTAATCATAACCCTCAATATAAAACATTCATATACCATGGCTCTTATCTGTATTTATATATATGTCAGCAATCATGCTTCTTTATACCAGAAGATGCGGGACCTATCACCTCAGTAATATTACTGGCAGTATGTGGCAAGTTGGCAGAAAAGTTCAATTTATGTTGCTCGATAAATGGACAATTCTGATTCTGTAAACAACCAGGTGGTCCTTTCCCCTTGATTATTCCATATCATTTTATTTTATATATTATGGCCATGCGATTCCATTTGATTGAAACACAGTATATGTGCTACTGATAACGGCCTTTCCTTTTCCAGATTCCACTGCAGTAAGATGCTTGCATTAATAGCAAAGACAAAATTATTTTTTACCGTTCAGATTATCTTATTTCAAGTGATTTTGCACTTTACAAAATAAGTATGTGAGAAGATTTTTATCTCAAATTGTATAAAAGTACTTTTTTTAAGTGCTTATGGAGATTTCCATCAACTACATACATTATCTTTCGCAGACTAACCTCCCTCATGTTATCAAAGGAAAGAAAAATAGACCCCTCCCAACTAGATTTGTTTTATACATAAAAACTACAAATCCAACCTCCAAACACTTGCTTAAGGTAACATACTTACAATGACCTATAAGATACAGAAAAAAGGAACGCCCAGTGCTAATTTAAGTTGTGGTAATCGGTGGAAAAACCCACAATTGAGGGGTAATCTCAGGGCTTTCTATATATGTCCTATCAGTTCAGTCACTCCGTATTGGCTCTAGAACTTGGATTTTCCAGAATTTCTAGCTAGATATAGTCACAGTGCGATGACTACTGTATATATATAATTAAATAAAATAATATAGACCATAATGAAAGTTAATTCTCACAAAATATGAAGATATTCTATGCATATAATTAGCATAAAGCATATTTTTGAGGTCCGAATTTTACTGGTTCAACTTTAAAGAGTGATTGCTATCTTGGTAGGCAGCTGTACGTCCAAATGAGTCCACCTGTTGCATTTGGAAATCAGATCATTTATACTCAAAAAGATATGACTTAATGTAACGGACCTATATCACCTTTATCCTCAAAATCCTTATCATTTCTTTTCTGTTTCTTTCCAAATGTGAATGCGTGTGTGTGAGCAATGAGGTGAAGGCAATATTGGTTGGCAAGAGGACCAATGGATTCTGTATAGATCTCCAATAGTTAATTGAGCATATATGCGTGACGTGACTAAAGAAAAGTGGGAGAGTATCAAGTGCATACATAGCTTGAAGGGCTGTTGTCCTCATCAATCAATTAATAGCAGGTATAGAAGAGGGCCGAGTCCTTTGAATGGCACTTTGATTTGTGTGATTTTAAAGTAAAAGCATGAGTTAGTTGTCTTATCAATGCAAACTGAAGTCCAGTAAGATTAATCTACTATCTCTTAAAATAGGCAAACTATGTTGTGTGTAAGGAAATGTGGAGAGTGGAGTGAGAGGGGATTAGAGAAAGAAATTAAACAATACTACCTCCGGTATTACAAAGTGGATCTTATCTTTAGGATCATAGGTAGTATGTAGTTTTATTAGAGAAGAGAAAGACCCTCAAAACAATGGTAAGGTTGCTACCGATATGATCTAGATGTCATGGACTCTCCACTTACTAGAGTGAGGCTGTGCATATCTATCCTTTTCCAGATTCTACCTAGTGGGAGTCTTATGCACTGGGCCGAAAGAAGGGTTAGTTTTATTACAAAAGCTTTTGCTGATTTAATCTAACAATGAGAGATCCAACTTTTGTTTGGATGAATCATACCATTACCAACCATACCATATAATATTTAATTTAATACATCTATCAACTTCCTGCATTTATTGTCTTTTCCAACAACTACCTACCATATGCATCAAGAAAAACTCTGGATAATAGGGCTAAATCATTCATGAACTCCATAAAACGGAGTTTGATTGCTTTTTTTTAGGACTACTGTTGTTGAAGCTTTTGAGGCCATCATCTTCACTGATACTGGCAGTGAGGCAAGCATATTGAATAACTAACTCGCAGGAAACAACCAATGGGCCTAATTTAATTTGTAATAAACAGTGCTTAGTAGTACTGATGTGATGGAATGGAGTTAAATTGGTTGTTAACTTCTTATCCTATATGCTGTGAGCTGTTCTGTACAATTGATGTCGTCGTCATTTTGCCACTTTCAGATGGTGAACATGTTCTTTATCAAAGCAACTGCATCATCTTCTTCCCTACTTCAGATGCTTGCGTTTGAAATTATACCGCACTTTGCTTCGCCTCTGTTTGGAATCATGTTTGTATGTACTTATAAACACATTTTGCATGTGTCGAAACAAAACTCATTTCATATACTTACCTTGTGTTCTGTAAAGCACGATGAAAAAGTACTTATAAGCCATTTAGACAGTCATTCTAAGATATTTTATATGTATTATACTCTTCTAATTTTTAATATAAGAGTTACATAACTAATTTGAAGGTATCAGGAAAATTAATAAAGTTCGTTATTTGTCACAAATGTATGATGGTCTCTATAAACTATCATTTTTAATCACATGCATTAGGTGATTTGAATTATCCCTTAGTAAAAACTCTTTACAATCAATAAAGATATTTTAAAAAAAATAAGAGACAAAATAAATTGAAATTTTGTATTTAGAACCAAACCAAACGGCCTAACTAACTCATAGTACCGAAAGTAGTGTTAATGATGGCGTAAATTATGGATGCAGTTTTGAAAGTACTCTAATTTTAATGCAATTGTCGTTTGTGTAATAATTATAATGATAAAATATATTTTATCCTAACAAAGGGATTGTGTCTAATAGAAAGAGCTACTTCTCCACAACTTGGTAAGCCGATGTTCAAATTCCTGCTGAAAGAGGTATTTATATTTATTACCCGATAATGTTTTGAATATAATTATCTCTAGGAAGATATATATGCTTGACAGGTAAAAAAATATTTTACTCTTAGACGGTGTACTTTTTCTTCTTGTTTTTCGGCCTGAAACTTAGACGGTGTACTTTTTGTTTTTGACCAGCATGGACGGTGTACTTTAATACTAACACTTTTTTTCCCTCCCTGGTGAGGGGAAAAAAGGAATATGCTAAACTTTCTGTCATCTCCGCCTTCTAAAAAAAAACAAAAAATTGCCATCCACCGCCTTTTTTGAATGCGAGACTTTGGTTGGCCCCTTTGTAACTAAGTTGGACCAATGGCCCAATAAGTTTGTCAATGGGATTTGGATGAAAATTGACAGAGCTTGATTAAGACTAATTTCTCGTAACATTGTATCAAAAAAAAAAAAATTAATTTCTCGTAACATGATAAATGATGATTTTAACCTTATATTAGGAGAGGTATCTATATTTATTATTCGATAATATTTTGAATCAGATTATTTTTAATAAGAAGATACTTATACATAAAAAAAAGTGTTTGTTATACTAATTACTATAAGGAATTACTTTCTTTGGTCCACAATACCAGTTGCTTCTAGCATGTTCATGTGAAATTCTCATAAATGTTGCTGCTGATAATCTCGTTGGACAGATTATGATGTGACTAATTTTAAATTTAACGACACTTGTGTCCAAGCATTTAAGGAATAAAACAATTGTTAGGTGTTACCAAACCAGATTACGAGGTCCACCTCAACAATTAAGGCACATATAATAAATACTAAAACTTTAACCTTCTTTCTTTGTTTTTAATATAAATACTTAAACTTTAACCTTCTTTCTTTGTTTTTTATTTTATTTTATTTTTTGCCAGAACTGAAACTTTAACCTTTACCTCTTAGCTCTTAAGGCAACTCAAAAGCAAAATTAGAGACTAATAGCTTGTTTGGATTGACTTATAAGTAGCTTTTCAAACGTGATTTACGGAATACGAGGTAAGTATGTGAGGAGAGTTTTGTCTCGGCTTACATGAACTTACTTAAAAGCCCGTTATGAATGGAGCTCCAAACAAGCCCTAAAGCATCCTAGTGTAAACTTTCTCCTCATATTAATATATTGTATACTTTATCCTTTTTTTCAGTTAAAAAATCATAATATTGCCCAATCAAATTCGAGTGTTATCAAGCTTGGCTGATAATACTTTTGGTGTGGCATGCAATTCTTTGTTTATTAAATGCATTGTGGTGCAAAGAAAAATAAATCATCAATAGATACACACAAATTATAATATACTAATAGTGCACTGTTTTTAAAGAATTATAAATAATGAAACTCGTTAAATAAAATTCATACACACACAGCAATCTATCATCATCAGAATCACAAATTCTTTTGGGCTTTTGTTGATTTCATATATATAACAAATTGATTTACTTTATTCATCCCTCAAATTTATAAAGCTCTTTTTAAATTATCTCTATTGATTATATATAAGAAAAGAGATTTTTATCAATAGAGTAATGCTTAAAAAAGTATTTTAGAAAAACCAATATACATATATTACAAAAAGTTAATTTCACTAATTTTTTTAATAATAATATATTAGTACTCTTCTGGTTCTTAATATAGGACCTAATTGTTGAGTTGATTTTGGTCTTAAATATAAAACCCATTTTTCATATTTATCAATTTTCTCTAAATTACTCTTATAGGCACTTCATCAACCATAATCAAGTAGAAGAAAGAGAGGGGATAGTAAGAAAGATAATTATGATGTTTTAGGAAAAACCTGTGACATTTTTTATAATTAACTAACTTACCTAACTTTCTTAATCTAATCAAATTAGTTAAATAGTTTTATATTAAGGATCGGAGGAGTATTTAGTTTTTATATTTTGGTTTTGGAGCAGATGAAGTAATTTTTATTTTGAGGTGAACTTCAAATTGTTGTATTTATCAAATCAAAGATGTTTTTTTCTCACACTAATCAACCATTCTTCTTCTACCACATGACAAAAATGTGTTCAGAAAGACTGTTTGGATTTTAAATATACTTTTCTTCAAGGAGAGCGTGGAAGAGAAGGCTAGAGAAGTCCAACTATTTACGTTTTCCCAAAGCCAAGAAAACTTTTCGTGAGGACCAAAACGACCTCCTTTTTCTTCTGTTCATTGCCCTTCCACCGCCTCCCTTATATATTTCTCGCTAATATCCCTCGCATTTTATTTCAATGAAACACAATCTCGTCGTCTGATTTTTTGATTTAAATTCGGAAAGGGGCTGTGCATCTTTAGACTAATCGGATTTCAATGGCGAGGCCTAATCAGGAGGCAATTGAGACGTTCATTAGCGTCACGGGCTCATCTGAAGCAATCGCAGTGCAAAAGCTCGAGGTTATCTTTTGCTTGTGTATTTAATCTAATTATCGAGCTGATTCTAGGTTTTCCGAGAAACTTGATGGAATCAGTGGAACGGAAAATGTGAATTCTGTTCCTAGTTCATCGGCCATGGTTAGGGTTTTTGTGCATTGACCGGCTAGCTTGGTTCTGGATTTCGTTTGCCTAGTTAACCCATATAAATTATTAATGATATTTTGCTGGTTCAGTGTCACTAAATTAATAATTTTGTATATTCTGGATGCTTCTGCTTACCAACGGTTATTAATGGGCATCGGACATTTCAGTCAAATTAAAACTAAACAGATGAATGGGATTACGGAGGGTCATTTTCCATTACTAAACAGATGTATCTCATTTGAGTGGAGTGTTTGGCTTGGTGATTCAAATTGGAAAAACTTGTCCTAATAACAAAGCTGGTATTTTGTGTAACTTTTGGAAGATGATTTTTGCGTCATTGCCTAAATATTTTTGGGTTCAAGTTGCTTTATCATATACAGTTTTAACGAAAATGGATAACCTTGATGTTAGATTAACTCAACCACTCTTCGTATGGGAGTCTAAGTTTCAAGTAGATATTCTGCTTTTTGTTTTTTTCTCAAAACATTGTTTGTCAGTATCCTGTCAATTTGTATTGAACCAGCTCCAGCCAGCTCTTTTTTCCGAATTAAAAAAAAAAGCCATGAATCAGTTCAGTCAAGTAGTTGCTAATAATCTCTCCTTTGTCTGTTAATGTTGTTTCCTGCAGGAGCATGGTGGCAATCTTAATGAAGCCATCAATGCACATTTTAGTGGAGACAGCAATTTGTCAACTAGGTATATTACTTTTGGATGACTTGTGAGGCAGCAATTCATTAGAAACGCACCCTCATCTGAATAGTATTACTCTGTATTTTGAATTTTCCTGTATTTTTTTGGAATAAATATTGTTATGGATATCTTTACTCATTTCTTCTTGGGCAGTACTCATGGCACTTCTGCTGCTGTTCCACAAGATGATTTCATGGATATAGATAATCAAATCAATGATGAACTGCGCAGGCCTTTGCCACTTTTTTCTTCAGACAGAAACCTCAACCCATTTTCTCTTCTTGATCCAGCTTTTAGTAGAAGTATGTTTGGTGCGCGTCTTGATTCAACCAACAACGATCCATTTGTTACACATCCAAGAGAGGTAAGGGAGATTCCCATAGAGGTTAAGGATGGTAATCAATCCAATTCTCAGGCTGGTCATGCTCCAACCATTGAAGATGTCACGGGAACTGTTCATGCCCATGGTCCGGATGTTCATGGGACTGTCATAGTTGATGATGACGATGATGATAAAAATACTTCACCTGCCCCTACTGGACGCCAGGATGAACAGAAAAGGATGATGTTGGCTGATACTTCACGTGACAGAAGTACTAGGCCTAGTGCTCCTGAGCTTGAGAATGTGCCAGACTATGGAAATGACATAGAAGAGGAAATGATACGTGCTGCCATCGAGGCTTCTAAACGGGAAGCTGAGGAAAAGTACTCAAATGACAAGTCTGGAACGCAAAGGGTATGTTTCTGCACGTGTTTCTTGGTGATCTGTTATACTGACTTCTTTCCTTAGCATCTGTCTTCCACCTGATGTAGGATTTAATTGAGTCTGGACCTCAGCAAAGGCAGTCTTTCTTGGAGGATCCTGAACTTGCCCATGCAGTTTCGTTGTCCCTGAAGGTGCTCCTTTAATTTTTGTTGTTCTATGTCACCATAGCTTCACTCTTGAACCAGTCATCTTGAGTAAGTTCATCAGTGTGTATCTTTGCCACTGGGATTCTGGAAACCAATTCGTCCATACATTATTCCCCTATTTATTTTATTCTGTGGTATAGTTATTATCTCTATTTTATTTTATTTTGTAAATATCTTCTAGTCTCTATATAATAGGACCTTTGCATAACTGAAAATTCACAACTTCATTGTTGAATAAATTATTAGATTTTCCCGTTACCCTCACTTCCCATATACCTCATTTTTCCCGGTACTGCATTACCTGTGCTTCCACAACAATTTTCATTAATTTCCTTCTTGGATGCTTAATTTTCTGACATTAAATGAGTCCAGAGTGCTGAGCAGGAGAACGCAAGGCGTGTCCAAGGAGGAGATATTGCAGAGATGGTGTCATCTAAGTCATCTGAGGTGGAACTTGGAAAAATAGCAGCATCAAATGGAAGGTATATTCTTTATTTGTCCTTTAGTGGCATGTGATCATGCACTCATTCCTGCTTTCTGCGACTGTGGATAATTGCTTTATTGCATTCTCTGTCCCATGAACTCATTTCTGCTTTCCATGGCCATGAAGGAATGCTCTGTTGCATTCTCTGCCACTGAACTCTGCATCTTGCTTGACAATATGTTTTTTTAAAGAATTTTCAAATCTGACAAGGGTATGCATGATCATTCTAGAATGCAGGCAGGAAGCTCTTCCTTTCGAGATGAAGCTGAAGATGTAGAGGAGCAACCTCTGGTTAGGAACAGGCCTAGACGTAGGTCATTGGGCTCCACTGAATCAGCCAACGATGTTGAAGTTGTTGATATTAGCCCACAGTCGAGCACAGAACATCAGGATAGAAATAATCAGCAGCATAATGGAAGTTCCTTCCATTCTGATGAGGTATAGCCTTACTTTTATGAATTTTATTGGAGGATTAAAATTCTGTTTGCTCATAATATCATCATCTGTTGTCTGTGCCTCCTAACTCCCATTGTTTGACTTCTCTGGAACTAAAGTGGGGCGGCATTTCCTCTGAGGAGCATGACGAAGCAGTAATGCTTGAAGCTGCTATGTTTGGTGGAATCCCTGAAGAGAGCAGGTTTCGCTTTGGCTATGCACCACATGAGTTCATGCAATCCAGGGGTTCCTATCCTCGGCCTGCACCTCGCCCACCTTCACCATCACTGGAAGCTCAGCGCCTGATAAGAGAGCAGCAGGTGTGATTTTTTTTTTTTTTGGGTGAAATGGTTAGAGTTATAAATCATAGGTGGTCTAATTGCATCCATTGCTCTTTATGCTTTTGTGAAATAGTTATAATTATAGATCATATGTGGTCTAATTGCATACATTGCTCTTCAAGAGAACAGCAGGTGTGAATTTTTTTGTGAAATGGTTAGAATTATAGATCATATGTGGTTTAATTGCATCTATTGCACTTTGTGCTTTTGTGGCGTAGGATGATGAATATCTTGCATCATTACAAGCGGACAGAGAGAAAGAATTGAAGGCCTTGGAGGAAGCTGAGGCTGCTCGTGAAGAGGAAAAGCGCAGAGAGGAAGAATCTCGTAGGAAATTAAGAGAAGAGCAGGTAATGCTGAAGATACGCTTAGGTTCATCATCTTGTGCCGGCTTTCATTCTCTTATTGTTGTGGGCCATTTGGTCCACATCCTTCTCTTTTGAGTTGATATTTTAGGAAACTGTTCTAGCATAGCATCTAGTTGTTATACCTTATCCTTGGAGGAGGGTATCGGAGAGGGCAGTTGATTTGTTTGACATGAATAGGTTGTATTGTGTGATGTCTTTGCTTACGGTGCAAAGTAAGAATGGGCTGATCCTAAGAGGAAGCTTTTCCCGTTTCAATTTATACAGGATTGACCGAATTAGTGAAATAATTATGGAATTAAATGTTTGGAAAGCATTCAATGATGATATATATATAGCTAGGTGATACTTTTATAATGATACATTGACATTAATATAACTGCTAATCTTCTGGAATAACTTTGTCGTTAATTCAAACAGGCTTATAATTCCTTAGATTTTTATGCTAACATGTTTTGTAGTCTTACATAGAATGCTAAGTTAACATAAGCCTTTCTTTTTGTTTTATTCATATGATTTAAGCTTTTTTAACAGATATGAGAGATACAATTGATCTCTTTTGCTTCATAATGTGACATGACATGATTTAAACGTTATCTTTATTCTCAGGAAATTTATCTGATGATATTTTTTCTAGAAAAAGGACTCTTTGTTATTGTTAACAAGAAATAAGGATTTATTTGATCATTTTTATGGTGTGGTTTTTTCTTTATCTAGTGGAAATTTGAGGGCGTTTAATGATTTTTCAAGAACCAAAGTATTTTATGTATTTTAGCGTAAAGGAATAGTTATGATTGTCAAATAACAAGATTCAGAGTTCCAACTTTTGCATTATGCAGTGCATCTATCCAAGAAAATTATGTAATCAGTTTTTCATGCTTCATGGCTCTAACATAATGGCTTATTCGGGACCTAAATATGTGTACATTATTTTCTATGAACACGAAGAAGACTGCCCTTTACTAGGTGCTTAACACTCGTATTTCGTCTAATTGTGTGTCAGGAATTGGAAACACAATTAGCAGCAAAGGAAGTTTCTTTACCACCAGAACCATCATCAGATGACCAGAATGCTGTGACATTGCTGGTAAGAATGCCAGATGGCAGTCGTCGAGGACGTCGATTCCTGAGATCTGATAATCTACAGGTAAAGCCCTGCTAGGAAATTTTTTTTCCTTCTTGCTGTGCATGTAATTGCTTGACCAATATTTGTTCCTTTTTTTTTTTTTTTTTAATTTCCTTTGTGTTTTTTCAGTCTCTTTTCGACTTTATAGATGTTGCCAGGGTGGTGAAACCAGGCACTTACAGACTAGTGAGTAAACCTTAATGCCTTTCAGATTATTATGTCATACTCTGTTGTATGTATTGTCAGTGTATTTACGCCTTTTGATTTATATTTTGGGTACAGGTGAGACCATATCCTAGGCGTCCATTTAGTGATGGAGAAAGTGCGTCAACACTGAGTGAACTCGGCCTAACCAACAAGCAAGAAGCCCTGTTCCTGGAGTTAATCTGATGCCCTGACTCCATGTTCTTGGAAAACGAACAATTAAAGTTTAGTTAAGTATTTATCAATTCACACTCCAATAGGGCAATTCAATCTCGGTTTGTGTTGTTAGAATTTTCATTATTCATCATGAAATTCCAGTCATACAAAATCATCTGCATAGAACCGTGGCCCTTTTTATCTGTGAGATGGATAATTCTTCATGGGGAGGAATATTGTTCTTTTGTATATCCTATAGAAGCACGTGGTTGGGATGGAAGATAGCATTTTTCGCGCCTTAAAGAATATTCCAGGTCTTTTTCCTTGTCCTCTCTTGGTTCCTTGTTTTCTTTTTTGAGCCAAGTACCCCCCCCCCCCCCCGGTTCCAAGCAAATAAATAGATGGCTTATAATTTCGGCATTAGAACCAAAAGTTGTGTATGCTCCAGACCCCAAAAGTCAAGGACCATTCTTAACTCCATTCACGCACACATCTCTTATCCCTAGTTTCCCTAACTGAGCAGGGAAATTGGAAACTTCTAAAAGACCAGTTTCTTTTAGGATTATTAATAATCTCCCTATGGATTATATTTTGAGGTGAATATGTTGACTTAGGTTGGTAAGGAGTTGTTACGGCTTACGAGGTTTGTGCTAAATCTTTATGGTTTGGAAGAAACATGATTTGTTCAGGGTCTAGAAGTATTGTCATCAATCAACAGAAAATTGTTTTAATTTGTGTGACATTTAGAATTAAAAAAAGAAGGAAAGATTGAGGTCTAATTTTGCCTCAAAAGGTTTCGTTCAGAAGCCATGTATTTGTGGGTTAATTGTTGCCCTGAAAATTTAAAAACGGAAAGTTAATTTTAACTGTTACAAATGCCTGCCATATCATCCTAGTATAAATAGATCAATAAATGGTCAAGATTAATCGTGTTGATGCACTGAGACAACGTTACTACATTTTTTAATTTATTTTTGAACTAACATTGTTGCTAAGCAAATTTTTAGGACAAAATTAAATCTTAACTCTTTTTTTTTAAAAAAAAAAACTCTTCTTTACATTCTCACTTAGCAGATGGCTGTAGACCCAAGTTATCCACTAATTATTTGTAATAAAAATTGTTGTCTCCTATCTCTTTTCATCTGAGTTTTGTTCTCCATTGATATGCTTCCTAAAATACCACGCGTGTACAACATGTATTTTCATTTCCCTCTCAAATCACTTCTATATAAGCATCAACGAGTAATTTATCATCTAATTACAGTAATTTATCTTCTCACCTCACACCCATAATTATTCTCATCAGTTGATACACTATATAAATGGAATAATGGATGGCTAAAATATCATTTTTCTCCCAAAAAAAAACCAAGTAAATAAAAAGTTCCTTGTTCTCATTACTCGGATGTGTCTTTGCTCTCAGACACTGGAACAGGAGACAAAAAATTCCAAGTTCCATAATGTTTCATGGAACCTAAAAAGATGGCTCTATATAGATTTGTATACACATATATACAGTCAAAAAATAAGATCCTAGGCAGACCCTCAAAACTGGACCCATGGACAGGTCTAGCGTCGGCATTTTTAAAGCTATTCGATTATTTTATTTCGACAACATAATTAAAACCTACAAGCTAAATATATGTATCCACACCCACATGACAAAAGGCCAGACAAAGAGAAGGGTTAGTAGTAATAGTGATACTCCTACGAGATATCACAAGCTTCTTTGCAAGGCCACGCGATTAGTGACACTAACATTACTTCAATACATCAGAACGATCCTCCTTCGACCTAACAATTACAGTAGTAGGAAAACCATCCTCCTCGTCTGAAACCAGAACGTTCTGATGCTTCTTATTTCCTTTCTGTTCTTGTTTAGACTCGCTGGCTGATCCAAATATCTGCACTGTCAAGCTTCCGCCTACCATGTGATATTTGAAAGGGATCAGTGCAATCAAATTCAAAAGCAACAGGTTAGAATGTATAAAATGCTTTTGAATAGTTCCTAAAAGAACCAAGCTTCTTTGAGCTGTCTGTACGAGCCTTATTTTTTGTCTTGGGAATCTATCTTGCTGTTGAAATTTATCGACAATAATTTTGTCTTCAAAATTTGTTCCTTGGTTTCACTTCCTAGCAATATCAAATAGTCCGGCCCCCACACCCCCACCCCTCTCTCCTCCTCCTCCAACCATCACATGCACGCACGCACGCGCAGAGCATATGCGAGTTTGGCTGGACTGAAATCTTCTCTTTTAAAGCACTACTCTGGTCCTAAATATAAGACCTATTTTGTAGTGTAATTTGCACTAATTACACTACAAAATAAGTCTTATATTTAGGACCAAAGGAGTAATATTTATCCTCTTAATTCAACCCACGATATTTCCTAATATGTTGGTCAAGTACGTGGTCTAAAAAAATGAGAACAGCAACTACTACGTGATAACCGCAGTGTAGAAGTTGTTACCTAGCACAAGGGCAGCACCAATCCATCCTAAGGCGCCCCACCTTTCGCCTAAAAGAAACCATGCAAAAGCAGCACCCCAGACTGGCTCGAGCCCATAGATTATAGCAGTTTCTGTGGCTGATACATCTCGCATTGCAGCCATCTGTAATAAATCACTTAACCTTGAAAACATTGCCAAAAACAAATCATTCAAATAAAGAATGCTTTGTTCAAGGAAACGATGCATCTCACTTTGTGGCCAATCATGTCATTTTCGTCAGTGTCAACTGCTCACAGCTTTAGCAAGAGCCATGAGCAACAAGCTAAGCTAATCTCATTAATATTACATCAACAAGAAGCCTTATCCCACTAAGCCCAATTTCACTAATAATCAAAAGTTTCCATAAACCTAATTACAAAGGGCATTAGGTGAAGTCCAATAAAAAATTGCTAATAAGGTAAATAGATAAAAAACAGAAAGATAATTGTCAAAAGGATAATATGAGGCTAAGAAAGCAATAATTATTGATGCCTCACAAAAAGATAACTAACTTCAAAATGAAAATAATAAATTAATCAATCTTATGTTTATATGTTTATCTTTCATTTCTAATTTACAATTAATAAAATCTCTCCTACAATCATCAAAATCTCTGGTGCCTCGCCATACATTCAAATGAAAATTAACCAATACACACAAAAAAATGAGGGAAAGAGGAAGAAATCCTAGAACAAAAGTTCTATATTTTGTGATTCTCCTCATCTACTGGCTCATTGTTTTCAGAGTCAATACATATCCTAACATTTGACGACTTCCACCCTCTGTGGGAAATAGCATCAAACTTGCACTCCAGGGTTATTTAATAATTCAGAATCAGGGGATCAAGTGTTCACCCCAATGGTGTATCCATCTAATTTTTGATGATAAAACAAACGTTGGATGACTTTTCGGGAACATTATCTGACGTTATGGTTCTATTAAGCTTTCAGAGTCCCGTTTCATGTTTTCAAGACCATAAACTTTTTTCATAATACAAGAGTCTATAAATGTCTTGAGTTCATTAAGATTTTTCTATTATGTGCCCAAAGATACAGGAGCGAAGTCTAACCTCGAATATTGGTCAATGGTTGAGAAAAACTAGTGATTTACCATAAAACTGGCAAGAAGTCATCTTTCCTTTCAAGATAAGTTGAATGCTGTTGGTTCTTCTTAAAAACATCTTAGCCCACCAGCAAAAGTCAACTTTTGAACACTTAAAATTCACCTTAAATCTTTGCTTCAGGGAGTCAATAAAAAAATTATTTCCCACCAAAAATATGTCATTGCTACATAGAAAGCAATAGAGTTGCTGATTTCATGGCTACCGTGGGTAATAACATGATTCTTGGCCCTCACAAGGTTCAATATTGTCTCATGTTTAGTGTGAGGTTGGTGATTGAAGACGTTTCTGGAGCACAATCCCTAAGAAGGTCTTAATCTAGTTTTTATTTTTATTCATTCTTTTTCCTCTGTAACAAGAAGGAAAAAAAATATACTTTTCAAAGTTGCACCAGCAAAAGAACTTAAGGCTAGATTTTTTAATTAATAAAAACAACTAGTTGTGTACAAATTGTCTTCAAAGTCACCTCTTAAAGGCTAGCTTGGCCAAAGGCTAACATACTTAAGGTCTTTCCAAATAGAAATGAATCAAGAACTCGTTATCAACTGTCAAATAATCTTTTATAGCTCATTTCATCATTTCTCATTCTTTTAGTGCACTTTCCACTTTTTTTTTAAAAAAAATCAAAAGTACAAATTAAAAAACTCTGTTAAAGCATTTTCTTTTGTTTTCTTATGAGCCAAAAATCTGAGAATTTTCACTTTTACACATTCAACATACTCTTTGTAAGACTTTGCCACCGCAGTCCTCTCCCCTCGTGTGAGATAGAAACATTCAAGGAAAGGTTTCCCCAGAAGTTGGAATGGGGTACAATCATGTTGTAAGGTTAGTAACCCTATTATTGCAACTCTTTAAGTTGAGAAGTTTAGTATCACTAATCTCTCTGACTTTTTCGTTTGACAAGACAAGATGCTTTTTGGTGACCTTGTGGAAATAGAAGAAGTTTAAAATTGTGGCTGAAAACTGGAAGTAGGCTGGATATTTGATCGATCAAAATACATATACTTGCATTTGATTATCTTCTCCCTTTCCCTCCTGCTTCTTTCTCTTTATTTCAAGTTCTTCTCTACATACTTCATTAACACTGTATTCATTTAAGTGCTTCAGTTTACTGACCTGTGCTTTTTGCCTTCGGTTCTTTTTGCACTTTAGTTTCCATTGGGGGAAGGAAAAGAAAGGGTAAAACTTCAAGGGTTGATAGCTTTACCTCAATCCATAAGCATAGCCCAGTCGAGAATATGCCAGTATAAAGTGCAGGTATCCAAGGAAAAGTAACCATCAAATCTCTTAGCATAGTCCATGACCAAGAAGATGGCCATGAATCGTGAACACCACCAAAGCAACTTCCAACCAAATACCATATAGCAGAAAACAAAGCGACAATGCAAATCTGCAGTTGGAACTTCAGTAAGTTTACATTATGCAAGACATTAAGAGAATAATATTTTTCAATTTACACAATCTTTTATGGACGAATGAACACGTAACTCACTTGATATCCTAAAAGGGGCAGAAACTTCTCTTTACTAATGCTTCTTGATATACGTTCTGTTCTTAACATATGAACACCAAAACACACTGCACTTAAGAAGTTTAAAAGATCTCCAACCTGAATTTAGTGCAAAACTTCTATTAGTTATTAAAGAAGAGAAACATAGAACAAAGATTCATGTAACATCTAGTCTTTATAATACAGTATTGATTATAAATCAAAACTTATAAAAAAAAAAAAAAGAAAATAGAAGAAAAGTAATAAAAATAAGGGAGATACACATACGCTTGGAGGAGAACCACTAGATTCCAGCATTCCAACTCCTAAAATGGAAATTATAGCTCCAAACCAGATTCGAGCAGGAATCTCCGCTCCTAACATGCCATCAATTAGAGGAACCACAATTACCTGTAAATTTCACGCAAGATATGCACAATTGTACCTTCAAATAGTCTCACTATTTAAAAATAATTTGCATAACATATGTAAATGATCTTACAGTGAACATAGATATAAAAGATGCACGACCAGCATCTGAAGTTAGAAGTCCCAACGCCTGCATGAGGTAACCCAGACTGACCCAAAATCCCAACTCTATTCCTGCATTTCGAGTGCGGGCATCACCCCTTGCTTGCAGTATAAATGGAATGAATGGAATGGCAGAAACCGTAAAACGCACGACTGTGAAAGCTGCTGGACTCATAATGGCTTCAACCTCTTTGACAATTGGAATGTTACTGGCTGCACATAAAATAGGAAATAGATTATTATAATATCAAATAGTGAATCAAGGATAAAACAAATCAGTTAATGGCTCATCAACACACTAGAAAATTTCACACTGACAAATGCAGATACAGAAGCAAGGCCCATGCACAACCCCAGAGAAAGAGTTTGTTTATTGACATAAGATTACTGGATTGTTCAATTCCATGCTTATCAGCATAACATATATCAAAATGTAAAACCACAATAAGCCTCCAATTCGACATCTTCTATCAAGATATTGTAAGATGTTAACTTTTCATATAATAGTCGTGTTTTGATAGTAGTAACTACCAGAGGAAGTGAAACTGAAATGGCACAAAGAAAACCATTATGGTTCAACATGCAACACAGTGCAGGCCTCAAGAAAAAGCTTGCCATAAACTTGCAAATTACTTATATGCAAAGCCATGTAAAGGAGACTTCTAATGCTCATTTCCTTATGTCTTGATGTATCTGTATTTACTCTTCTATCACTGATTAAATATTCGTTCACACCCAATGGCTTACTATACCAGGTTCATTTAGTACAAGAAGGGCAACCTCCATATCAGCACAACCATACGTCTTCATTTGTAAAAATAATATAGCAGGAATTAAACCCCATTAAAAAGTAATCCTGGGAATAGCTTTTTTCTCTGTTCCACTCCTCCCTTGTTTCCACAGAAAGGCCGTAGAATAAGTTGCAATTTCATCTGTAAGACATCAGCATCCCAATGAATTGTAAGATTTCAAAGCTCCACTATTAGCAATCAATTTCCATATAAAATACAATGAAGGTTGCCATTCAATGGGAATGTATTTCACTCATTCAACCAATCGTTAATGACCCCAAATAGAAAAACCAGGTTGCATAGAGGGGTGTGTGTGTGTGTGTGTGTGTGTGAGAGAGAGAGAGAGAGAGAGAGAGAGAGAGACTAATGATTGTTGATGGATACAACTTTAGAACAATTGATTCCTTTTTTTTTCCGGTTATAACCTTAGAACGATTAGAATAATAACAGACCTCCCCCAAATTTCAATTAGGCCGTTGAGAGCCCTGTTGCAATTGATACTTTTAAGATAAGAAGATTGACAATTATATGTTATGAACTTAAGAGAAGCGTTCACTTGAGGGGGAAAACACTAAAACAGCCTACTTGATGACTTCCAAGGTGGGACCTTTTCCCCTCTCTGTGTGTGTGAAGTCGTCCGTGGGGTTGGTTTGTTCCTTCTGTGATCAGTCTAGGGTGATGTAACATCGAAATGCACAATGCTTCCCCAAAGTTCAAATATTATCAGTGGCTGCAGCAGATCTCCTCATAAAAAATCATCAGGAATTTCCTGTTACACTTGCGAGGCGTTCTGGTCAAAGGCTACAGTCATTAGCCTTTTCCCTTCACAATTTGACTCGGCCAATTCCTCAAAATACACAAAATTTCACGAAGACGGGAAAACTAAACTTCACCGGCACCTGACGCAAGTCCTTTGAACTTTGACAACTTTCCTAGGCGGATGATTTCCTAAACGCAAGATAACATCCCATGTCAACCCATGCACATTCAGCATAAACAACTTCCCCCATCCGACACCAGGCCAGAAACCATTCATGAAAAGATTAAAAAAAAAATGATTCTTTATCACAAGCATATCATAAAACACCATACAAAGTCTGCCCAAACAAAACGAACAGCGATCGATTAGATTGTATATATAAAAGTAGTTTACCGTAGACTATGGTTATGACATTGAGCAAAATTATGCTTCTGAGTTTCTTGGATGCGAATAATATCCTCCGCCATAGAGACCTTTTACTGAAAAAAGTCTTGTAACTCGGGTGCTCTTGCTTCTGGCTCTCGATCTGACTGGAGATACTCGACGAAACATCCCTCCTAGCAGTGTTACTGAGTTTCCTGCGTTCCGAGCCCGAAACGTCTGATTTGCCGGGTTTGCTCAATCTGAGACCCGAATTAGACGGAGATGAAGGAGAAGAAGACGGTGGAGGACGAGGCAATGAGGAAGCAATCAGACGATGCCGTTTTGTGTAGGCGGTGTGAAAGGAATGAAGAAAAGATGAAGTATAAGCAGAAGAGGACGATGATAATGAAGATGAAGGATAAGAAGAAAGTGAGAATGGATCAGAACAGCTGGGGGTGGTGCGCGACCACCATCGACAATGCCATTGAACAGCCATAATTGGGCCTACCGAGAAGCTGTGTGCCTGGGCGTGCTCGTGTTTAGCATGCGAGCTTATGGCCACGTTTGGTTCGCAGCACTGGAGGCGTGGGACAGGAGTTGGGACAGGGAATCAGTCAAATAAGCATGTTTGGTAGGTGGTATTAAAGAAGCCCAAGGATTGCACATTACCACATAGGTGGGATTGGACAAACCCACCTCCCTCCCTTGATATTGCATTTTAAAATCTGGGATTGAAAATTTTGAAAACAAAAATATCTCCACTTATAATAAATTTTAGACAAGTTTAACCTTCTTACTTTTGTCCTAATTCATCTTCTCTTCCATCGTTCTGAAAGCCGCTCACTCTTCATCGTTCTCTCCCTTGTTCTTGCCATTACCAGATTTGCTGAGTTGCTCTCTTCATCGTTCTCTCCCTTGTTCTTGCCATTAAACGCAGCATCACCAGTAAGTTTTGCTTTCACTCTACAAATTTTTTTTTTTTTCCGCAGCATCTCCATTAAATGCAGCATCTCCATTATTTGATATGTGTTGAGGAAATATTTTATACCGCAGCATCTTCATTAAACGCAACATCCCCATCATTTTATACCAAATCATTCGTCCATTTGATATGTGTTCAGTAATTGATTTGTTCACCGCACTCTTATATTGATTTTTTTATACGAAATATGTTTTTCTTTTTGGGTTCTCTCTTCGCCTATCCATTGATTTCTTTTAATATTTTAATCTCAATTATGTTTAATCAGGTCTTGCTTTGCTTTTCATAGGATGCTTATTTGCCATACTTTTTCAGATAAGTCGAGCAATGTTAAAATGGATATCCAATTCCCCCCCCCCCACTTTTTTTGAGCCCTAGTTATTTTTTTCTTTTATTTTTTTTTCTCTGATAGAAATACAATTTTGCTTCGTCGTCTCTGTCTTAGCCTTGGAACGCCTGTTATTTTTTTCTTTTATTTTAAAATATTTGGAAGGGGCATTATTGTCTTTCCATAATTTCTATTTGATTTTAAAATAAAATTAATGAAAACAATCCCTCTAAAGATTACCTCTTACCAAACATAATTTTAAAGTCCTAATCCCAATCTCATTCCCAATCCTAATCACAATCCCATTCCCAATCCCAGTCCCTTCAATTCCAGCGCCAGGACGGTGTCGATTTTTCCGGTCTTTTGTTCTTTTGTTGGCCAAATGAAATTGCATCATGATAAGATTTTTTTCAATTTTATTATACTATTTCTAATACTCAATATAAGGGTGAGTTTAATTTTTAATTTGATATTAAATATAAAATATAAAATTCTAATTTATTTTGTTTTTTATATTTATTTATTTTTTAAAAAATAGTCTTTATAGTAGTTATATATTTAAATATTTCATCAAATAATACTACTTCCGGTTCTTAACATAAGACCCTATTTGACTTTTATTTTGGTCCTAAATATATGACCCCAATCTACTTTGTCTCTCATATTTACTTAATTTTTTTTAAGATAATCCTTCTAATAATTATAGTTCTAGTTAATACACTTGATTTGCAAGGATATTTTAGGAAAGACAACACCTATTTAGAACAAAGAACTAACTCAACTTGTTTCTTTAATCTCTTCAAATTAATCAACTGGCTCTTATAATTAGGACTGAAAGTAATACTTAATTAATAGAGATATTTTTAAAAATAATAATAATTTATTATAAATAAATAACTTAATTAATTTTTTAATTTTTTAAAATTAGTCAAGTAATTCTTATATTAAAAACTAAAAATAATACTATGTTACGTCTTAATATAAAAATTAATTAAAATCTAATTTAGCCTTGAATATAAATACGCAATTATCAAGATGCTCTTATTGATTAGAAAGCAAAAATTGAAGGAGAAGGAGGGCCCACTTGAATTGCTCATCAGCCTGTCCTGGTTCCCGAGGAAGAAGGCAATTAATTTAGCTAATAGCCCAAGACAGGATCAATTACATTTATTTAAGGTGAATAGCTAATTTATTCTAGTAAATTGCTAAATAGTTGTAATAAATAACTTGTTGTAATGATCATGTAATTATATTAGAAATCAAGAGATGGTGCGATTAAATTTCGCATTGACCAACTTTATCACAAAATATTCCCGACGATAAGAACGAAGGGCTAAGATGGCATTTTCCTTTCTAGTGTGCATGGGTGATAAATCACAATATTTTCAAATCCCAAATTGGCTCCTAGTAGATTAATACGTAGTTCGTATTAGGGGGTATTTTAACCTCAGAATCACTTAAAAAAGTGTTTTTATGTAAATTAAGATTAAACTATTCTTATATGTTCATTTTGAACTTTATAAAATTACTTTTGAAAAGCTATTTCAAACACTCAATCAATGATAATTGGAGAGGTGATCTTGTTTTTTTCCAACCAAAACATATGGGGTATTAATCTGGATCATGGAACTGGTAGGAACATCTGTTTGATATTTTTCCAAACTTAAAAAGCCCATTAATCATTATGACCGGGAGATTAGCAATACAGTAGTCCCGATAGGCAATTATGGATCCATATCCTGTAATTAGATATGCAGCTCATTACTCTTTTCCTCCTTTTGTTGTTTTCAGATGCAGCAGGTTTACCATTTTCTATGAACTCCTGTTTTCAGATGTACCGAGGTTATCATTTTCTATAAATTCTACGGTAAGAACTGTACCCTCTCACTCAAGAGGAGGAGGTTCAATTTCTCATCATGGCACTTGGATAGACATCTTAAAGTGGGGATGCCTAGCTTAATGCCTGAGATTATAACATAGATTTGTCTTGCCTAATATTAGTATCATCTGGGAAGAGCCACTTAAGTGTCTTGTCCTTGGTTTAGGTTGAGTTCAAATCCTTACCTAAAATTTTTGCATAAAAAAAAAAAACAAAAGATGCATATGAGATTGGGTTTGACAAAAGAAAACTAACTAATCTCTCACAGCATAACGAATTAAAGTTCGGATCCTTATCAAGAGAGGTGCTCACATTTAGTTTTACGTGTCTCTGAATGGCAAGTGGAAGTTAACCACATACTTAGTGTAAGCGCCGCACGGATAGAATGGCAGAACTGAGTCTGCAGCAATGTGTAGGACTGATTCACTGGTTTAAAACCCCCGAACAGAATTTGGCACGAGCTGCAAGAAGATCTGGATCGGGTAGAGTTCATACGTAAAGTTAGCAATTAGTTCTGTGTTTTCGTTTTGTTCACCCAAGAAAAAATAAAATGCACCATGTGCCTTCATATTATGCGTGTAAAGGATTCAGGCCAAATCCAAACAAGTCATAGAATTTTTTTTTCCCCAAATAAAATCAGATAGGCAAAATATCAAGTCCCTTGCCCTTATCGTCCCTAGACATAATATCTGAAGACTTTTATATCCAGAAAAAAACATATATAATATCTGAAGAGTAAAGGATATTATCGCCATTTGTCAAGGTATATCAGTAGGACCCGCAGTAAATAATCAAGGGCTTCTGTTTTTTTTTTTTTTTTGCAGTTGATATTTTTTGTAGAAGTAGCTTTGATTTCGAGTTATTTCTATCATGACTTTAATTATCAATTAACGTAAAACATAGTACTTATTAGATCCTATATGCAGTACTTCAATACCTATTTATAATATAAATTACTCTATAAAATAGGTCTTACATTTATATTTAAAATGGGAAGAGTAGTTTTAATTACCTTTCTTATTATTGTATGCAAGTACAGTATAAAGCTTTCTATTTGGTAATGATAAAATTATTGATTTATTTTTAAAAAAATGGTGGGCCTAATTATTATATAAGCACACAACATATCCCAAAGAAAAAATATGTACGAAAATAATATATTTTTCCATGCAACACGAGCAATGGAAATATGAAATGGTTTTTAAAGCTTTTGAGATGCTCTCACTCGCAACGTGCTCAAGTTGTATTATTGTCTTCTATGCTAGGTTTTTAATTTCAATTATATAATACAACTAGATACATTTTTGTTGTGTTACTGTACTGTATGAAATTTTAAATATTGAGCTTAATAATTTATGAAGATGTTCAACATTCAACAATACTCTTATTTGGGAGTAAAGATAATTAATACATATTCTACTTCTTAAAAAATGATAACTTAATTTATTTTTTTGGACAAAATGATATATTAATTTATACCATTCATCTTATCAAAAATTCTCATTCGTTTCAATTTTATCCTTCAATACGATAAAAGATTACAGTTAATTGCTGTCTTAAAATTAAAACAACCCAATAACATGTAATCGAACTTCTAAATTTCTCATCATGACGATGAATGAGGAAATGGTAGGATGAGAAAAATTATTGTATCCCTCCGCTCCATAATACAGGTGACTTTTAGAATAATAGCTTGGTTCAAAATATAAGTCACTTGAAGAGTAATTAAGTACTTTCTTCAATTCTAAATATAATTCCTTGTATTTTTTTTCTTCTTCACAAGTTCATTTAATATGGGTAAAATTTAAAAAAAATCAATTTGAAACAAATTTAATAATTTAACTCTCATTTTTCGGTTTTGATGAATCAGTTAAAATGACTTATATTATGAATAGAAGGGACTATGTATTACATGTTACTCTATATCCTGCACCAAACAAAATTTCTAAAAATTATCCTATATTTAGCATTGGAAAAAGTAATTAAATATAACAAAAGGAGAAAAAAAAAGGGATAAGGGTTGCTTTTGTTTTGAAAGTATTTATAAAAAATATGAGTATTCAGATTTTTGTTGTTGTTTAACTTCACCCTAGAAGTGTCGAAAGAACAAACAATCCTCACCTTAAACATTAAAAAACTAATATCAACGTCTTTTAATAGAAAAGACGGTATTGCTCCCCTTTAATACTTCTAGATGATATTAACCTTAAAAAACTTTTAAATACGCACAGTTCCTTGTGCCCATGCTTTCACCACAAAATGATGCCTAACCCAGAGAAAAATAACAAGCGGACAGAGAGCAGAGTTTGG